CATGTCGGAGGCTTAGTTGGTTGTGTCCTTGTCCTGGAGGCACTCTCTTCATTTTATAAGTGCAAACCTCTAGGCTCCTTAATCACTTTGATCCCCTTATCAGAGGGACCCTTTCCAGCACAAGTCTCTACTCCAAGATTTATCTTCCTAGTGCTCTTTTGCAATCCAAAGTGTATACTTTACATTTCTTTCTGCCCCAATTGCTCTTTAAAAAAAAAAATGTACTTAATATTAATGACAGACTACTTTTGAAACAGAGATTGGCAAACCAAAGTAAAAATACTTACCAACTGGGTTAACAGCAATTCTTCTTTTCCTACTTCTTGAATTTAACAAAATTTCCTTGCTGTTTGGACATGTCAACAATGAGTAATGGGCACAACTCGGTGGTTCAGAATCTGTCAGCTCACCATCTTCCATAAAAGCTTTGGCAATCTCTACTGCTTCTGTTTCAAAACAGTTTTCTGGTTTTTCAGAGTAAGCAGAACAGTCTTCGACATTTGTTCTCAGAGGAACCTTAGAAAAAGTTTGTGTTTTACCAATTTCCACCTCTATGTTTCTGGGTAAAGTTTGTTCTTTTCCCAAAAGATCAGTGTTTTTAAGGAAGACTTTGGTTCCTAAAACCAACTGTGTGTCTTGCTTAAACTGAGAGACATTTGAAGAAACTTTAATAGAATTAATATTTTCTGAAGAACCACTTTCAATATTATAGCAACTTGGTAATTTTAATTCGTTATTGTAGGCCTTCTGCATTTCAGAGTTTACAGAATATTCTGAAGATCTCTTATGAACATGAGGGAGAGGAAGTATTTTTGATACATTCTGTTTAGATGTAAGTGAATGCTGAATATATTCAGTTCCAATTGAATCAAATTCCTCTAACATTTCCTTAACTTTGTGTAAGGCACTTTCTGAAATTGCAACCTGTTTCCCACTTGCTGTACTAAATCCAGAGAAAACAGAAGAATCTACATTCCATAAAGCAGTCTCTGGGAAGGACTGTACATTCTGGAAGTCATGTACCACAGCATTTTCATCTCTTGTGAAGCGGTCTGACTGTTCACTGCTTTTAAATGCTACTGTGGAAGATAACTGCGTAGCACTGCCCTCTATCTCAGAAAACATGTGTTTTGCCTTTTGCAATGAAGCATTTGATACTTGTACAAATTTTCCACTTGCTGTGCTAAAAATCCCACAAGTACGTGGAGGAAAATCTGGCTGGGGAAGTTCCGCTATATTAAACTTACACACATCTGAAGCTTTCAAACTAACACGAGGTGATATTCCAGGCGCTTTCTCCACTCCAGATACACTTTGCTCATTTTGAGTAGCAGCAAAAACCTTATTTGAGTTTATATGTTCTTTGTCACTTAAAGAGTCAGGGCAGATAGAACCCTGTGAATTATCCAATGCTTTATGACACCTTATTTGGCAAGTGTGTGACTTACTCTCAGTATTTTGCTTAGTTATCTTATCACAGTTGTCTGTGAATCTCTCTTTCACTGTTTTTCTGGCTTCTTGTGAAATACAGATTATTTTACTGGCTGTACTGAATGCAGGTGACCCTACCCCACAATCATTTGAATCAGGTATGGCCAAGTCAATGGTTACATTTTTAGTTGTGCATGGCAAAGAGTTAGTCTCAACTTTCTGAACACAAACATCTTCATTTATAGTTTGCAGGTATGTGTTTACATTTTTTATGGTAGATCTTTGGGGGGGGAAAGCATTATTTTTGTCTTCAACATTCTGCATAATCGGCTGAATATCAGGATCAACTGTATTTTTGGAGAAATACCCTGACTCATTACATGTATCATCAGAATGACAAAAAGTAGAATGTTCTGGATGGCTGTTATACATGCTGCAGTTACTTAAATAAGTGGGACCCTGATTTGCAGAGGCAAGATTGTTCTCATTTTCAGTTTTGATACTGTTCAAACTATTTTCGTATGAAGGATTTCCTACATAATCCCCAGGATATTCCTTTAAACATACAACTTTACCAGCATTTCTTTCTTCTAGTTGATCATCCAATTCTTTAAACCATTTTTTTGCTTTGGACAGTGAAGCCTGACTTACAGAAATTTTTCTACCATGTCCTGTATAAAACGCCAAAGCTGAATCTTCAATGGCTGAACAAGGGATCTGATTTATGCAGCAAGTTGCAGGATTTTTTTCTATTTCTTTTTTTATATTTTCATGTACTTGAGACTTAAAAGGGATATTATTTGATGTTTTAAGATTTTTAGTTTGCCTGTTTAAATTATCAGTTTGCTTGGGTAGCACTCCAGTGTCCTTAGAAACAAAGTTCTCATTATTATCTAGAGAATTGTGCATTTCTTCACACTTTGGGGCAGTTATTTCAATTCTCTCATATGCTAATGCAAGACCTTCTTTACAGACCTCTCTGTCCTTTACAATTTTTGCCACTTGATGACTAAAACTGGTAACTTTACTAACATGTTGTTTCTCATCAAAAAGATTTTTCACTTTGTCCAAAGATTCCTGTGTAATTTTAACTTTTTTCCCACTAGCTGTATGAAAACTCAATACAGTAGGTTCTTTGATCTTTTCTATTTTACATTCAGGAAGCTGCTGGAAAGTGGGCAATTGACTGGCATTTCCAATAGGGATACAGTCTTCCAATATCTTGTTTTTAATACTGACTGTTTCCCTATGACGTGAAATGCCCATATTGTTCTTATTGATGCCTGAAAGAAATTTAGAATTCAAGGAATCTGAAAAGAGGGTCAATTCTTCTGTTTCCTGATCAAAGAAATTTGCAATTTTATTTAATGACTCCTTGGAGACTCTGATATTTTTCCCACTTACAGTCTGAAAGGAGATACCAGTATCTTTTATGTTTTGTTCCATCTTACCTGCAGTTAATTGCTCTTTATTTGAAAATTTCACATGGCATGCTTCTTCAGCTTTCACAGCTTCCAAACATGTTAAATCTGACAAACTTTCTTTAATTTGTATGTTTCCATCCCTCACAAATTGGCTAGATGGCTTAAGATGCTTATTGTACTGATCAACACATGCCAAGTCACTTTCATCTGTATAAATCCTATCACTTATACTTGATTTACTATCATAGTCTTCAAGTTTACAACTATTTCTCTGAGAACAAGTATATTTCTTATCTTCACTTTTTGTATTTCTTGTGTAATTTTTAACAAAAATGCCAGTAGTCATTTCAATATTATTTTGTAATGTTACCTGGCATTTGCTAGTTTTATCAAAATTTTTATTGCTGTTGTTTTTTATCTTGAACACTGAAGTGACTGAATGGCAGAATTCACTTGAAAAGGAACTTCCTGGGTCTACTTGTACTGCAGAGGTCTCCTCACTATTTTCAATGTCACTGAACAGTTTCACAGCTTTTTGTAGAGCTTCACTAGAAACACTCAGCTTTGTGCCAAGAGCAGAATAAAAGCCCCCAAACTCCACTTCACTGTCTGTTAAAAAACAAGATGCACTTTTGTCACAGTTGCTTTTCAACAAGCAAGGGAAGTTTTGTTTAACTCCAATTGCATCAATTTTTTTGCTGTTATCTATTTGACCTATAGATGAGGAATCAATTGTGAGGGGAAGTTTGACATCTTTCCGTTCCTCAGGAGAGGCAAGTAAGGCAACCACCTGGTTCCCAGGCATTTCACATGTATTGCCCTGTATTATACGGCTTGGCTTTCTGAACTGTGTAAATTCAAACTGACTTCCTGATTCTTCTAAAATAGTAGAAAGTTCTGTAATTTCTGCCTTTTGGCTGAGTGTTAAATTGTGATGCGAGTTAAAATCTTGCTTTAAAGATAACAATTGAGGTGTTGTGAGATTATCTTCACAAGAAACAAATACTTGACTCTCCACATGTGCAGACACAGTATTAACTGGCTGTGAATCAAAACTAGCAGGCTTGCTTACTTTTTCCTGGTTTCCTAATGATAAAGTATTAACAATATCAATACAAGATAAACTAGTAGGGTACTGTTCTTCAATATCTTTGAATAACATCCTGCTTTTCTTGATGTTATGTTCTAAAAGTTTTATTTCTTTATTGGAAGCTGTTCTGAAGCCACCTCCAGAATTATGATTCAAAACTGGATCTAAGAGTCCTGACCATTTCTCTGCGTAATCATTGTTTCTATCTGATTTCATATCCAAGGTGGTGTACGATTTTAAGTCTTGGTCTGGAGTTACTTTCAGGTGGTGCTGTCCACTCTTTCTGCGCTCCTTCATACCACCATGGAGTACAGTTGATGAATCTAAGTTTTCTTCTGTCATCAACACTTGGGCTGCTTTCTTATCTCTGTCTCTATCTATTACCATGGAAGAGTTCTTGGGAATAGGCTCTTCTGTATAACTGAGGTCTTCTTTATGAAGTTCCTTAGAATTTCGTAAAGCAGGACTATTCCTATCATTAGTTATTTGAAAGACAAAATTATTCTCATTGTCTGGGAAAAGTTCTTCAGAATTTATATTGACAGTTATTTCTGAAATCAAAGTAGTTTCTTCCTGGTCCTTCCGGATTACTGTTAGCTCTGTATTCTGGTTGAACTGCAACTTCACTGAAGGTGTTGTTTCTGTTATATACTTTCCAGGGGGCAAAAGCTCAGTTTTTTTAGAATTTTCACTTAAAATACACATTTCGTTTTTTCCCAAGGGACTATTTTTGTTTAATTCAATACTAACTTTACTACTTTCATATTTTAGTTCCTCTGATATTTTGTATGATGCTTTTCCTCTACAATCCACATCTGGGTTTAACGGGGGATCCTTGGAGCTACAACAAGTTACTGTAAGAGTGCTAGTATTACTGTGGCCACCTAAGGGGCTTTCCTGTGATTCAAAGTGAATGCTACTCTGTTCCATTGCTGAATGCTGTCCTGCAGGATCACATACTGCAATCAAGCCTTCTTTTGTATCTGAAACTTTGTGGCTTTTTCGATCAACTTCACATGGTCTTTCCCGAAGGCATGACAGAAAATCAGTTTCCAGGGTTGTAAATGGCTGCAGTTTTTCTTCACTAACAGTTGTTTCTTTGTAATTAAGATCCTGAGATATGTGTGTATTATTGTAACTATTTTCTTTACTGAAAGTATCCCCAAAGGAACTGATCAAGGACAAAGGTGGTTCTTCAGTATCATTCTGGAAGCAGTTTCTTTTCACAAAAGAATTAGATAAACCTAAACATAAGAATACAAAGTGACAAAAATGTTAAATTACTGCCAATTATACCCACTAAATATTTTTAGTATGTTAAAAAGATAACTGTACTTGTAAATTCTAATGCAAAATTATACAATTTTTCATGTAAACCACATTGATTTTAATTAGGAAGCCTTTTCTTTCTAATCTGTATTTCAGTCTAGAAGAAAAGGTAATGAGTAAAACCAATTGCATTGTTAAGAGGATTATAGAACTGCATTGTCTGAACTTAGCACCTCTTGGGCTGAATCATCCGTCTCTAGAGTATTTGTATTCCAAGTCTGTATGGCAAGTTTGCAGCAAGATCATGTGCATATCATCCCATTGTAAAGCAATTTCAAAAATATGGGAACACAGTTATTTTTACACAGTTCTTTTTGTGTGTGTGTGCTGTCGCTTGTCGACAACACCTTTTTGTTTTCCTCAATGAGGAGTGTTGTGCATTTGTGAGCCTTCATTAACTCAAAGTGAAATGGTTAAAAATATTTACCCTGTTAGAATAGGCTGCATCTTTTTAACAACTCATTAAAAAAACAAAGAAAACAAAACTGGCTTTTGAGACGACTTATGCTAATTTACATTGTTTACCAAGCTGTGGTGCTTTAAGAACACTACTTAAAAAGCAAAATAAACTTGGTTTACATTAAAAAAAAAAAAAAAAAAGGTAAGTGTTGAATTTGTCAGTACATTTTTGGATTCCCTCTGGTTTTTTACACTAGCTATGCATTTACACATACATCTCTAACATGAGTCCACGTGCATAGCTGAAGGCTACATAACAAACAATGCGAGACAGAAAAAACCTTCTGTGAGCTGTTGGCCAGGATAGTCCAAGAGACTCCCAAAATTACACAGGCTATTACCACAGCCCTTGATTGCCTCCCAGAACTTGAAGGTAAGATCCTACTGCTGAAGTAAGACATACTTCAGACATAGAATTTGGAGCAATGGAGCTGGAACTGACCTGGAAGCCACCTCCCCTGAAGGATAGCTCTCATAGCTTTGGAAAGCACTACTCAAGTTGCTAAGGTAGAACATCAATCAATGGTCCAACCCCAGCTTTAAGGCCTAATAGCCACAACAATGACTGGTACAGCAAATGACATTGGTGTAGTAGTGGCACTTTTATCTTGGGGGTAATTAACAGCTACCTAATTGGACTTAAAGCCCACTCAATAGGAGGAAACTTATGGGTGGCACTGTAAACCTAGCCAAATACATATGGCTGGAGAGGTGATAGCCCCAAGGCTGTCATATTCCTAGACAAACGTAGTTCTTACTATGTACAAAACATGGATCCTTTAATTCACAAACAAGTATCCTAGTCACCACTCATCAAAGAAGCTTCTTTTGCAACAGCCTGAGACTATTAGAGTTCTACAATTGGTCATACAAAGAGATTATCTGTGAACTGCCCGAGCTGAAGTGGCACATCTATGATGCAACCTCTACACTTAAGACTCATAGAACATAGAACAAGAGATGAAGAGAACACTAATGGTTATTTCAATTCTCATCAATGAAGCTCCCTCATATAACAAAGGGCCAGGTACACAAAAGGTCATAAATAGCCAAAGTGTAGAGAATAAGTCTTCAGCGTGTGGGTCCTTGGTCAGGACTTATATTAAACTCCACCCACCCAGGGCTCAGGGACCATTGTGGACGAGAGGGTGGAAAGATTTTTTTTTTTTCTGTCTTTTTTGAGACAGGGTCTCCCTGTACAGCTGTTCTGGAACTCACTATGTAGACCAGGCTGGCATTGAACTCACAGAGATCTGCCTGTCTCTGCCTCCTGAGTGCTGGGACTAAAGGCATGTGCCATCATGCCTGGCTGAGGGTAAAAGATTTTAAGAGCCAGGGAGGAGGTGCACATATGGAAATAAGAGTCCTACAGGCTCCTGAGACTCTTCTTAAACGAACTTATAGCAATGGTGTCAGCATGCACAAGACCCATGCAAACTCAAGCAGACAAAAGCCCATCACAAAACTGGGGAAATGGCAGCAGGCTCCAATCTTAGTTGAAGAATTATTGGTAGCTAATTACTGCTGGGTGAGGAAGAGCTGATCTTCTTAAAGGGAGGGACTCAAGATAGGGTGACTAGACTCAGTGGATGAACTTGCACTGAGGGACATCTGGGGACACTAACAACACAATAGGCCTTAACACAAATGACAGAATGCATGAATTCCAGTGGTGGTAGCGGCTATGGGAGGATAACAATGGGGAAGGGGGTATAAAGATGATTATGATGTTCTGTATGAAATACACAAAAATTCAATAAAAATTTTACAAACAAGTGTTTAAAATAAGAACAAAGAATAACATTTTAATTTTATTATTTTAATTTTATGTGTATGCATGTATTGCCTGCATGTAGGTAAGTGCACCTTTGTTGTGCAGTGCCCGCAGAGGTCAGAAGAGGCTGTCAGATCCCCTGGGACTGGAGTTACAGACAGTTGTTAGCTGCCATGTGGGTTCTGGGATTCAAACCCGGGTCTTCTGCAAGAATAATCAGTGTTCTAAACTGCTGAGCCATCTCTCCAGCCCCAAGATTAACAATTTTTAAAAAGACTTATTCATTTTAGGTATATGAGTGTTTGCATGTATGTATGTTCATCAGGTGTGTACCTGGCCCATAGAGGCCAGAAGAGGGCATTAGATTTCTAGAAACAGGAGTTAGAGATCACTGTATGCAGCCATGTGGGTGCTGGGAACTAAACTCCAGTCCTCTGCAAGAGTAGCAAGTACTCTTAACCAGTGATCTTTCCAACCACTGATGAACAACTTTAAAATAAAATCTTTTTGGGGGGAGGGGTCTTTTTGAGACAGAGTGTCCCAGTAGCCCCAGCTGGCCTGGCACTTACTATGTAGACCACGATGGCCTCGATTTCACAGAGATCCACCTGCCTCTGCCTCCCAAGTGCTGGGCCTAATGTTGTGTGCCACCATGCCCAGCCAACAGTCTCTATTTTGAAGGTATTAAATACTCTCTAATTTGAAGTCAGTGAAAGTACCTGTCAAGCAAGCAAAGGGACCTGATTTCAGATCCCTAGCAATCACATAAAAAGCTGGGTGTGGTGGTGTGCATCTCTTAATTCAAGCACTGTAGGATGGAGAACAGAGGCAGGCAGATCCCTGGAGCTCATTGGCTAGCCAGTCTAGCCAAATCAAATGAGTTCCACATTCAGGGAGAGTTCTTGTCTCAAAAAAAGAGATGAAGGGATTAGTGGGATGGCTTGGCAAGTAAAGGTGCTTGCCACTAAGTCAGATGACTTGAGTTTGATTCCCAGAGCCCACATGGTAGAAGACAAACTAACTCTAGCAAGCTGTCCCCTGACCTCAACACATGAACAGTGGCATACACATGCATGTGTACACACACAGCAACAGTAACAACATACACATAGGTTGAATGTAATCAAAGAAGACACATTAATCTCTGGCTTCCACATGTGTATGCACACACATACACGAGCACCCGTACACATGGGTACACACCCATACAAGCATGTTCATACACCACATGCACACATTTTTATATTAAAAAGATTCTAGTTCAAGGCAAAGAGGGTCTAAATAGTGTTTTGTTATTTTCACATTTATTTATTTATTGTGTGTGTATGTGTGTGTGTGTGTGTGTATGCTATGGTATGTATGTGTAGTTCTCTTCCCACCATGTGAATTCTAGGAATTGACTGAACTCAGGTCATCATGCTTGGCAACAAAGTGAGCACCTTTACTTCTCACTGGCCCCCTAGATACTTTTTTACAGTAGATATAAACTAAGTATATATATAGATTTTTATAGTATATATAAATTAAAATCAGTATCTAGATGGTAATGGGAGATGAATATGATCAATATACATTATAAACATGTATGAAACTGTCAAAAAATATACTTTTTTTTTTTTGAGACATGGTCTCCCTGTAGCCCCAGTTAGCCTGGAACTCCCTATGTAGACCAGGCTGGCCTTGATTGCACAGAGATTCTCACTACCTCTGCCTCCCAAGTGCTGGGATTAAAGGTGTGTACCACCACAACCAGCTAAAAAATAAATTTTTAAAAACTAGTATCTAGTTCAAGGAAACGGTCAATTTCTATAAATAAATCACAAATTTCCAGGGACTAGAAAGATGGCTCATTGGTTAGCAGCACCTGCTACTCTTGCAGAGAACCCAGGTTCAGCTCCCAGCACCCACATGGCAGCTCAAAACCATCTGTAACTCTACTTCCAGGGATTAACTCCCACTACACACACACAGCACATAAACATACATGCAGGCAAACAAAATTTATTTATTAACATTATATTCAATTGCAGACATAACCTATACACATTACTGTTGAGACTTTTGACTACTAGTTTGGAACAATGTCATTCAAACCCATTTGGTCAATTTATACCATAGGGACCCCCTCCACTCCATCACTTAAAAATTTACTTTTTATTATTATTATTACGTGTGTGAGTGCAGGTGTCAGTGTGCCATGGGGAGTCTGGAGGTCAAAAGACAACTTTGGGGAGTTATTTCTTTCCATTATGGAATCTGTGGACAAACTCAGGATATTAGGTTTGCACAAGTACCCACTGAGCCACCTTGCTGGCCTTAAGTCAATGCTCTTAATCTCATTTTATTTAACCAGTTACCACCATTACTTACCAGTGGTGTCATTGCCTGAAACTCTCATATATAACAGCAAATAATTTTCTCTGAAAACTTAACACAAAGTTTAAATAGTTCCTCTGTACCCCAGCACCACCAACCTATTCACTAAGCCATTTATATCTATTAATATTCTCACAGGGAGGCCAGGCTGTGGCATATGCTTTTAATCCCAGCACTTGGGACGCAGAGGCAGGCAAATCCCTGAGTTGGAAGTCACCCTGGTCTATGTAGCTAGTTCCAGGCTGGCCCGGGCTACTTAGACTCTATCTAAAAAAACAAAATCACCAATAAATAAATAAATAAATAAATAAACAAATAAAGCCCAATATTCTCATAGGGAGCTAAAACCACTTTGAGGGGAGTAGGGGTAATGAGTTTCCCTATGTTGCCCAGGTTGGTCTTGAACTCCTAGGTCTGCTTAAACTTCCCAAGGAAACTGCAACATTTTTTTCTTTTTTTGTCTTTTTGAGACAGGGTCCCCCTGTAGCCCCAACTGGCCTGAACTTGCTATGTAGACCAGGATGACTTTGAACTCACAGAAATCCACTTGCCTCTGCCTCCCAAGGGGCTGGGATTAAAGGCATGCGCCACCACACCTGGCTAACTGCAACATTTTTATAGTTATCTAATTGGTATATAATAAAACACTTTAAAATTAAAGCTGAAGCTCAGTGTCCAAGTTCCTAATGTTTCTAAGTCAATGCTGTCTCAAGAGTGCTACATGCCTACAGTCATAACTACTTGGGTTCAGTGTGTCAAGGCATTTGCCACTAAGCCTGACAACTTGAGTTTGATTCCTGGGACCCACATGGTAGAAGAGGAGAGCTGACTCTGATAAGCTGTCCTCTGAACTCCATGCAAGTACCCTGTGATATATGCATACCCACCCACAATGAAGTTTTAAAAAGTAATGGTTTTTTATATATACATACATATATATGTGCATGTGTGTGCATGTATATGCCCTCTAAATTGATCCAACAAGTTTGAATGACACAATTCTTAAACACTGGTAATCAAAAGTCTCAATAATAATGTATACAAGTATTATCTGAGATTAAAATGAGACCTAAAAAACTATAGAAAGGTAGTCCTTTAAAAATTTTCAAAAATATATGCTAAAATAAGACAATTTAGTCTCATCCATAAAACTATATACACTAGAAGGAAGAAGAAGTTGTACCTGAATCAGCATTTATAAATGTAAATGGTGCTTCGAAAGCATTTGCTTCAAATTGGGCTAGAGGGTTAGTTAGCTCTGATTTTTTGTCTTTTTGTATTGTTTTGCCTTCATGAGAAATGTCATCATTTATAGCATAAATAAACTTTCTTCTTTTATTTTTCAAAGTAGATATTAATCCTGCATTTTTCACAGGTACAGAACTAATAGTGGCTGGCCAGCTTTCATTATCAACTGAAATAGGACATAAAGAATTCTCCGTCTGTGAGCAAACAGCTTGAATTTCCAATCTACTTTCAGAGGCTTCAGTCTCTTTAAAGTTGAGATTGGTCACATTATCTGAGAAAACAGTATCAAAAGTCTCTTCAAGTGGCTCTCTCGTCTTGAAGATAGACTTTCTAATGCCCTGAATGGGAGAGGCCACTTGAGAAGTTCCAGATCCTGCTTGCTTCCTCCCAAGAACAGAGTCTTCCTGAGACTCGAGATGTTGCCTTTCACACTCGTCTACCAGTGCTTCCTCATGGAAGACCTTTTCCGGTTTTGGCAGACTGGAAAAACAAGGCAAAGAATTTTCTGAAGGAATAAAGCTGATAGGTTCTTTCTTGGTATCTATGACGTCTTTTTCCGAATTATTTTGGTTACAAGGCAAAACATGAAGGGGGGTTATTTTCGGCATCCGAGTTCCACTTAGACCTGAGAGGGTTAGCTGAGACCATCCACAGCCTGAAGATGATTCAGCTTCTGTGGAGATTTCCTCCCTTGAAGTGCCAAAGGGCTTCTGGTCTGCTACATCTGTATCTAAGGGATCACGATCACTCAGTTCCACTTCAGATGCAAATGAATGTTTATTTTCTTTAACTTCTTTTTCAGGTTCTTCACTTAATTCATCAGTTCTTGTCTCACAGAAAATTTTCTTCCTGGACTTGCCCTTTGTTTTTTGCAGATTTCTTATTCTAGTCTTAGGTAAGCACAAGGAAAAAGGAACTTCTTCAGGAACATCTGCAGTTAGCTCAGGTACTTCGTCTTCTAGGGCACTGGCATTGACATTTGGCACTCCAAGGTGGTCTTTGTCAGTATTTATTCTGCCAAATGAATTCCTTACCATTTTTCCCAATCCTGTTAAAATTTAAAACAAAAACAAAAGCACATCAATAACATTAATAACATTTTATAATACAACCATACTCTTTTTTTTTTTGAGTCAAGAGTTTACGCAATTCAGATTAGCCAATATATTCAACAAAGCTGGGTGTGGTGGTGCATGCCTTTGATCCCAGCACTCTGGCATGCAGAGGCAGGTGGATCTCTGTGAGTTCAAGGCCAGTCTTGGTGTACATAGCGAGTTCTAGGCCAGCTGGGCTACAGGGAGACCTGTCTCAAAAAGATCAAAACGAAACAAAACAAAGCAAACTAATATATTTAGCAGGCCTTGAACTCTTGATCCTCCTCAGCCTCCCAAGTGCTGAAATTACAGGTATGAGCCACTACATCTGGTTAACCATTTTCTTTATATTCTCAAAATGCTTCTGAGAAATAACATATTAAATAATACATAATTCAGAATTTAAGGAGTTATTCTGAATGTCAGCTCCATTTTGGCAAATCACCCTTCCCTAGTCTTCTGCTAAAACCTAATGTTAATATTCCCAAAATCTTTTGTTCATACTCTAACCTCTAATAAATCTTTGTCACTTCTACACAATTAAGGTTCACCTATAAAATACTATATACTTAAAACTTAATATTCTAAGAACTATCAAATTCAATGTAACAAATCAATTTTGCAGTACTATAACCAAGAGCAAAATCACAAATCAAGTTAGTTTCTATCTTCAGTATCTTGATTTTAGTCATCAAGACAGGAAAGCAATGTGTTCTCTTTAAGAAAAGAGGATTGGTAACATTAATCAAAAGCAGTAGTTCAACTAAACAGGAAGACTTACCATGACTGATAGGTTCTCTTTGGTTTTTATTTTCATTGTCAACCACGGAAGGAATAAATCCATCGTTCTTTCTCAAACTTTCATTGTAGTTAGAAAAACAGCTTTTCAAAATCTGCAAAAGTTATTCTCCAAAATCATTAATTAAACCAGGCATGTTGGGACATACCTTTAATTCTAGCACTCGGGAGGTAGAGGCAGAAGGATCTCTATGATATTGAGGCCAGCCTGGTCTACTTAGTGAGTTCCAGGCCTATTGGGGCTACAGGGAAACCCTGTCTAAAAAAACAACCAACCAACCAACCAACCAAATTAGTATAAACCTTTCAGTGCAAATATGTGTGCATGTTATTAAAGAGAAAAACAGCAAAAATTTTGTAGAAAGTGAAAGAAATCGTATATGGGATTGGGTTTAGAGATATTCGCAAAAGCTTAAGAAAATTATAAATTGTAGCAAAAAATACAGGACAGCTAGGGCCCGGTGATAAACACATACGATTCTAGCACTTAGCAAGCAGAGGCAGGAAGATCACTGGAAGTTTGAAGCCAACATGGTTCAAATAACTAATTTCAGATCAGCTAGGACTGCATAGCAAACCTCATCTCAAAAATGCAAAAACTCAGCAAGAGCACTGGCTGATCCTGCAGATGACCTGGATATGGTTCCCAGCACACACATGGTGGCCAACAACCATCCTTAACTCCAGTTCCAGGGGATCTGACACCTTCTTCTGGCCTCTGTGGGCATTCGTACATATGGTACACTTACATACATGCAGTAAGCACTCATACACATAAAATGAAAATATGCTCCCCTAACATAAAATAAAATAAAATAAAAACAAAAAGAAATAAACAAAAGAAACTGGAGGAGCTATTGGTAGTTGAGGGCTGCAGTGGGAGGGAAAGTCATTTTCTTTAAGGGTATAATGGCCTCTGGTAGGCTGCCCAGGCTCCAGTGGATGGCCTCACACCCATGTGCATACAGGTGGCACTAACTGGACTCAGTGGACTATTAGAAAGAAAAAGAAAAAAGATGACATGAAGTTGGGAATAGAATATGTTGGGAGGTCATAGGGGAATTGGAGGGTGGAGAGATAAAAATATATTATGTAAATGTATGACCTTTTGAAAGAATAAGTAAAAGTATTTTTTAAAAAACCAAAACAAGCAGGAAAAATAATTTATCAAGGCATTTAAAAATTATCAGGAACTTCAAGAATATAATCAACTTGACATATTTACTTACAGCAGTAGCATCATTGGGAAATTCAGTTTCAGGTGCTTCCTCATTTTTGACTGTGAAATAATAAAAATTAAATTTAGCTATACTGTATTATATATTGCTCACCAAAATTGATAGAAAAACTTGCTTTTTTCACAGAAACAAACAAAAACCACTAACACTATTTATAGCACATCTGAAACAAAATTAAATGACCAAAGCTAGTACTTAGAAAGGTCATTGGGAAAAGACTAAAGTCACAGTCTGAGCATGCATGCATGTAAGTACACCGTGTCATGCAATGCCCATGGAGATCAGAAGAGGATGTCAGATGCCTTAAAAATGGAGTTTTGGGTGGTTGTTAGCTGCTATGTGGTGCTGGGAACTGAACCCAGGTCCTCTGCAAGAGCAGCCAGTGTTCCTAAGCATGGAGCTGTTTCTCCAGCCCTGTATAAGTACATCTTATAAAATTTACTTGTTTACTTGATATTTAGCTAAATGAACCCAAGTGTTTGGCACACATTGGTAACTTGGCCCTTTAAAAACTGATCAGGAAGATCAAAAGTTAAAAGCTAAAAAAAAAACTAGATGCACTATCATTTCACTTGCTTAATGGTAGGCCTAACTATATGAGACACACTGATCTTTCCATTTTTATTTCATTTTTAAAAGTATGTGACTACGGAAGTGGAGCGATGGCTCAGTGGCTAAAACCACTGACTGCTATTGGAAAAGACCCAGGTTTGGTTCCCAGCATCCACATGGAAGCTAACAACTGCCCCTAACTTCAGTTGCAGGGAATCTGCTGCTCTCTTCTGTTCTCCATAGGCATCGCACACATGTGATGCACCTACTTATGTGCAGGTAAAGAATTCATAGCCATAAAATTAAAAAAAATTGAACATAAAAATTTTTTTAAAGTATGTGGCTGCCGGGCGTGGTGGCGCACGCCTGTAGTCCCAGCACTTGAGAGGCAGAGGTAGGCGGATCTCTGTGAGTTCAAGGCCAGCCTGGTCTACATAGTGAGTTCCAGGACAGCTAGGGCCACAGGGAGACCCTGCTTCAAAAAGACCAAAAAAAAAAAAGTATGTGGCTAACAAAATTAACTATTAGTGAGTCACAGTCTGAAATCTGAGAAACAATGATCTAGCCTAGTATCCTCAAAAGTAAAAGAACAATATTGTTGGCAAATATTACTTTTCTGCATTATTATCCAATTTTTCATGTTTTGATCTATAAAAGTTATAATATTTATTTATATGAGCTTCCAAATTCTTGATCACACTATTTAATCCTTTTTATAGGAGATTTTAAAAATTAAGTTTAATCTTATCAAATTAAAAAATGATTACAGCTTCTCAGATGTTAAACTATGAGTAGTCAAATCTCAGAGACTTAAGAGAGCTTAAGTTGTTTTATAATAGGAAATGTCTAAATCCTAGTAGTTTCTAAAATTTATTCACTGACCCATTTATTCAACATTTAAATTGCTATGGGTACTAGTATAATATTTAATCTATACCCATTTGCTTAAAAATTTGTTGATTATTAACTCTGTACCAAGAAACTATGGTGACCCTGAACAGATCTTCGTAGAGTCCAATAGATAAACATTTGTGATAATTATGCAGCTATGTAATTACAACTGTGAAATTAGATCTCAATTCAGTATCACTGGAAATATAGATCTATAGAAGAGAAGTAGACAGAAAAAAGATTAATGCTATCTTAACAGCCAGAATATAAAAATTACTTGTAAAAAATTCATTAACAATTCCACCAAATTTTAGCTCTCAAGAGGTTATACATGTGGGTAAATGGGTATGTATAAATTTATTATACATAGATGACATAGTGCTAAAATACAATGTGTGAGTCTTTTCATTCCATTTTTTATAAGTACTTTAAATATTTTATTTATTATTTTTACTTTATGTGTATGTGTGAATTGCCTGCATATAGGTAAGTGCACCCATGCTGTGCAATGCCTGCAGAGGATAGAAGAGGCTGTCGGATCCCCTGGAACTGGAGTTTCGGACAGTTGTTAGTTGCCGTGTGGGTGCTGGGATTTGAACCCGGGTTTTCTGCAAGAATAGCCAGTGTTCTTAACCACTGAGCCATCTCTCTAGCCCCCCTTCCATTCCATTTTAAACTAAATAAAATAAAATTATTCTAACTACCAATATACTTATTATTTTATATTTCAAGTTTTTCTTTCCACAAAGGCATCAGAGATGACAATTTATCAGCCTCATCTATCTTTTCTTACACAGTACACATTGCTATTATTACCTATGAGCACAGTAGAACTACAGGTTGGTGGTGTAGCTAATGAACTTGACCAAGACATATCAGAGTCCACCTCAACTCCCAGACTTTCAGAAATATGTTTTGGTGTCTGACCCTACAAAGAAAGACAATAGTTTATTTTATAGAAACACTGATGATTAAAATCATTTTCATTCACACTTTTTTCATTTACCACTTAATACCTATGTGTGACAGCATGCTAAACGCAGATCTCTAAATCTCAAGACAAAGATATGGTGCCCACTGTCAAATTCTCAACCAAAACACTGTAAGTATCCAAGCAGAGTATTTACCTTCTCAAGTTTTGGTGTACAAAATAAACTTCCACACATCACTGAAGGTGAAAAAACAGAAAATTATTAGATTTTGTTAGCATTTCTATGATTTTTAAAAATAAAAACCATGGAGCTGGAAGGATGGCTCAGCTGTTAAAAGCACTTGCTGCTGCTCTTGCAGAGGACTGGAGTTCAGTTCCCAGCACCCACATCAGGCAGCTCACAATGACCTGTAACTTCAGTTCGAGGGATTCAGTGCCCACTTCTGAGCTCAGTGGGGATTGGGCACACATAGGAACACATATTCATGTAGGCAAACACATACGTAAAACTAAAAATATATATTAAAGAATAATAATAATGGGGCTGGAGAGATGGCTCAGTGGTTAAGAGCACTGGCTATTTTTGCAGAAGACCCAGGTTCAAATCCCAGTACCCACATTGTGGCTGACAATCACTTCAAGGGGATCCAAAGTCCTTTTCTGTCTTGGGCATAGCACAACCCAGGTGCACATACACACATGCAGGCAATACACTCATACACAAAAACATAAAAAGTAAATTAAAAAAAAAAAAGAATAATAATAAAAATTAAGACCTTTGTTTTCAACTATACCTGGCCTTTCTCTCTGTGGTGTCACTTGTGTACATCGTAGAGCAAGAGGACTAAACAAAATAAGACAAATACCTCAGATTAAAGATGACAGCAATAACAAAATGGTATCAGTCAGTAGTTAATTTTATCGTTTATGTTTTTGGACACAAGGTCTGCTATGTAGCTCAGGCTAGCCTCAAGCCAGTGTTCCTCCTATCTCAGCTAGGATTTCAGGTGTAGGCTACTAGGCCCAGCTCAAAATAAATGTTTCAAACATAAAAACCATTCAATAGGGGCTGCAGAGATGGTTCAGCATTTAAGAGCACTGGCTGCTTTTGCAGAAGACTCAGGTTTGATTCCCAGAATCCACATGATGGCTAACAACCATTTGTAACTCCAGTTTCAGAGGATCCAATGCCCTCTTCTGTCCTCCATGGCCATTGCATGACACAGGTGCACTTACATACATACACCTGTATGTATGGAAATATATATATAAAATAAAAATAAATTTTAAAAAATCATTCAATAAAGGACTCAATCAAGTTTATTTAAAAATAGAAGATCTTCACAATACTCTAGCCTCTGCCTCCCCCAAGTGTGATTACAGTTCTGTATCACCACACCTGTAAACTAGCATTTGGGAGGCCGAGGCAGGAGGATGCTGTGAGTGAAGAAGAAGAAAAGGAAGAGGAGGAGGAGGAAGAAATAACTCAGTCATATCAATTAGTAGAATTCTGGAACTTTTAATATTTTACGTTACCTTTTAAAAAGTCAAGTCTGGCCTTTAATCCCAGCACTTGGGAGGCAGAAGCAGGTGGATCTCTGTGAGTTCAAGCCCAGCCTGGTCTACATAGCTAGTTCCACGTCAGCTGGGGCTACAAGGAGACCCTTTTTCCAAAAAGACCAAAAAAAGTTAAGTCTGTCAGGAAGAATGAACTAAGTGGGTAGACCAGATGGTTCAGTGGGTAAAGGTGCTTGCCACATCTGATCACGTGAATTCTATCCCTGGAACCCATATAAAGGTAGAAGAAAAGTAGCTCCACCAAAGTGACCTCCACACATGTACCATGGTGTGCGTACCCATATACAAAATACATATACAACAATAAATAAAATTTTGAAGAATCAGGGCTGGAGAGACGGCTCAGCGGTTAAGAACACTGACTGTTCTTGCAAAAGATCCAGGTTCAAATCCCAGCACCCACATGGCAGCTAACAACTGTCCATAACTCCAGTTCTAGGGGATTCGACAGTCTCTTCTGGTCTCCGCAGGCATTGCACGACATGGGGGCACTTACTTACATGCAGGCAATACGTGCATACACATAATATAAAAATAATAAATAAAACATTTTTTAAAATTTTGAAGAATTAAAGCAATGCATCAAGTACACATATATTTCAACAGGTAGGAATTGTATATTGTATGTTTTGAATTTGTATGTTTCTTTTGGTTTTTTTGAGAGTGGGTATTGCTATGTATATAGTCTAGGCTGGCCTCACACATGTGACCCACCTGCCTCAGCCTCCCCAATGCTAGGATTTCAGAAGTAGGTTACTAGGCCTGACTCAAAGTAAATGTTTCTAACATAGAAATTATTCAGTTAAGGAATCTATCTAACATATTATCTAAAAATTCCACGAGGCACTCAGCCAAAGCAATTTGGATGATAATTAGCTTAATTTCCATGAAACAAACACATGTAGAAAAACGTTTTATTTAAGTATACTTTAATAACAGTTGAAATTGATATTGGTGCCTGAACTCCCAGCTAAAGGAGAAGAATCCTGAGTTCACTAGTCTGAGACCAGGTCTCAGTAACAAACAAATAAAATGTTTATGTATGTATATACATATAAAGTAAATATCAGTTTTATCATACCTTTCACGAAGACAAGATTTCAGAGATGGACTGGTAACATCAATTACATGGTGTCTTTTTACTGTCATTTTATGGTGATTTTTACATTCATTATGTACAATATCCTTTCCTAAAACAGTAAAATAATCCAGTGAAGATGCATGCACTCTACATTTTGAGTTTCTACTTTTTGAAGTACTAAGTGCAAAAAGAGAACATATAGGGAATTGAGTCCCCCCAAAGAAAGGATATCTCAAGGGGTGATGTACACCCAATATTGTGGTTTCATACAGGTTAAGAGTAAAGGAAAAGACATTAATTAAAAACCCCAAGGTATCCAATCTGACCATATTATTCTGTGAAAACTTCCATGATCAAATTTCAGACTACCTGATAAAAGTGGAAAAACAAGGCTTTCATAACTTCCCTCCCTCCCTTCTTTTGGTGCTAGAAATTGATATCAGGGCTTTGCAAATGCTAAACATGTACAATTCTCACTAAATTATACTACTAGTCTGATGACTCAATTTCATGATATCATTATTTCACACCCTTATTTTTAGATAGAATCAACCATTTGAAAATCCTGAAAGAATGCTATTTCACCTGTAGAACTATGTACAAGATGTTTGTCTTTCATTTTTTTTCTTGACATGGAACATCTACTTTCAGACTTCTACTTATAAACTGCCTAATCCAGAAAACTCAAGAGGTTCCTAGGGAAAGATTAAGTGCCTGCCCTCCAATGTGTTCCCAATGGAGTTCTTATACTGTTTCTGTTTTGCTCAATATTCTGAGAACTTTTAAGGTAGAGATTATGGTCTTGTCACTATACACATAACAACTTCAATAATGCCTGATGTGTTCACTGTGCAAATAGGCTAAATGATTAACTATAATTAGAGAAAGTGAGTTGTAGGTACCAACACATAGAATTCCTTTTCTTATTGTATGGGTACCTAAAGCTGTTGGAAGCTTTATCAACATCAAATCCTCATTTACAGCTTCTATTCATATCTTCCTGTAATGTATGAGTATACATGACTCTCCAGAGCTTAAGGTATTCATATAGTTCTACTGGTTATTGGTGACTTACAAATTTGGTACCTGAGGATCCTATTATAATTCTTAGAAAATAATCATTTTAAGAATAGTTTGCTGGGGGCTGGAGAGATGGCTCAGTGGTCAAGAGCACTGTCTGCTCTTGCAGAAGACCTAGGTTCAGTTCCCAGCACCTGAGTGGTGGCTAACAACTGGAGTTCATAACTCCAGTTCCACGGCATACAATGCCCTCTTCTGACCTCTGTGGGCACTGTGTGAAATGGGTGTACTTACATACATGCAGGCACAACACTCATACACATAAAAATAAAAATAACAAATATTTAAAAAAATAGTTGCTTTACAGGATTGGAGGGATAGCTCAGTGGTTAAGAACGCTTACTGCTCTTGCAGAGGACCTGAGTTCCATTCCCAGCACCAATATTAGGCAGCTCACAACTACCTGTTAATTCCAGGGATACCTTTGTGGGTACCTACACTCAAGTTCATGCATGCATACACACATAATTTAAAATTGTAAAAATAAATTTATAAAATTTATAAATTTATAAATTTATAAATAAAATTATAAAAATAAATTTTAAAAAAAGTTGCTTTGGGCTAGAGAGATGGCTCAGCAGATAAAAGTACTTAAGTTCAATTCCTAGAACTCATGATAGAAGGCCAACAGACTCAATTAAAGGTAAACCAGGTGGCCTTGGGAAAAGACAATGGCAGTCCTACCCTCATGACAAGCCCACTGCCCTCACAAGCCCCAAATCCAGTTGTGGATTTTGTTGAGATAGTGACTCCTCCTGCCAATGGATCAAGGTGGAGAGGAATGCCATTTTGAAACACTGTATGACTCAGAAGCAGTGAATGGCCAGTGTTGTACTGAGACTGACTGTATTATTTAAAATTGAGCAACCTGCTGGGTGTGGTGGCGCACGCCTTTAATCCCAGCACTTGGGAGGCAGAGGCAGGCGGATCTCTGAGTTCAAGGCCAGCCTGGTCTACATAGTGAGTTCCAGGACACCTGGGGCTCAGGGAGACCCTGTCTCAAAAAGAACAAAAAATAAAATAAAATTAAATTAAATTAAGCAACCTTGGGAGTAGAAGAACAATCACATGTCAGGGAGCCTCTATTATCATAGTCCTTAGCAAAGAGAGATAGCCCTGGCAGGCTCTCTCAGCTCAGGTAGTAAAGTGCACAGATAAAGACAGACCCACCCTCAATGGCTGGGAACTGATATCCTGAGGCTGAGGTCAGAATGTAACTCAAGCTGTTACCACCTATCTTTCAGTGCTGTAGGACCTGAGAATTCTGAAGCTCAGGTAGAATAACTGCCATTCATAGCTGCATCCCTCTAGCAGGATGACCAATACCTAAGGAGATCATGAAAGTAGGATACCCTACAGCTGTACAGATCTCAGAGCTGTGGTTGCTTCCCACACTCCCTCCCAAAACACTTGGGAGATACACAGCAGACAGAATACTGGGCACCCCAGCAGATATGATGTGGGAAGTCTCACAAGGGTGAGAATTTGCCCAACCCAGACGCGGCAAAGCTAAGTGTGGTCATTAGAGGTCCCTGACACACAATAAAAGAAGAGAGGCTACTTACTAAAGCAAAGGGGGCTCTAGAAGACATGGGACATTAGTCCAATACAGATTCTACACCAGCACAAACCATAGGAAAGGTAAATCCACATGTTCAATTGCCCCATTGTGCATGTGACTGACAGACTTAATATTCAAGGACCCAGAAAGAAGCTAGTCTGGCCCTTTACCTTTTTTCACCCCTGTGCTTTCCCCCTTTTACTGCTTGACTATACTTTTTAGTGTATTCTTAAATTTTTATATTTTTATTCTCTTTCACTTATTCATCTAATTTTCTTTTGCATTTTTTTCCATTATTAGGTAACTTTTTCCCCCTTTTTCCTCTCTGCCTCCTGTGTTTCCCTCTTTTTCCTTCTTCCATACTTTTGGTAGTATTTTGAGTTTATCTTACTCATTAAAAATAAATTAATTTTCTTTCTTTTTTGGTCTTTTTGAGACAGGGTTTCCCTGTAGCCCCTGCTGTCCTGGAACTCACTATGTAGACCAGGCTGGTCTTGAACTCACAGAGATCTGCCTGCCTCTGCCTCCCGAGTGCTGGGACTAAAGGCGTGCACTCAGCTATAAGTTAGGTTTTTATTCCCATTCTTGCATTTATTTAGTTTTCGAAATTTCTTTTTTGTAGAATCTGTCTTTTAGGTTTGATGGGTTGCTTTCATTTTCTCTAGTCTTTTGCTCTTCACCCATAACATTCTCTTCACCCCTATACTACACAGTGTGCACTCTGGTGTTGAAGCTGCTATAGCACATTTTCTCCTCTCTGAGGGGTACTGGGCTGCTCAACTGCTGGAGATGGAGCTCAGTTGGTAGCGTGCTTGCCTAGCATGCAAGAAGTCCTGAGTTTGATCCCCAGCACTGCATAAACCAGGTATGGTGGCACATGTTACATCCTAGCACTCAAAAGTTAGAGCAGAGACCTTAGCAGAACACCTGAGAGTGCCTGGATCCAGCCTCCACATGGTGGTGAGCTTCTCCAAATTACTCTGTCCCCAACCCCCTACATTGTGATCATGTGTGGCTGCTTCCACTGCTAGATTTCCTGGCTCTACAGTGGGGACCAGACTTTAGCAGATTGCCTGAGAGTGCATGATCCGGCCTCCACATGGTGGTGAGCAATGCTGAACCCCCTACATTGTAACCACGTGTGGCCCCTTTCACTTCGCCAGGGCTAGACTTCTCTGCCCTACAGTAGGGCCCCCCTCCCCCAACCTTAGCAGACTGCCTGAGAGTGCCTGGATCCGGCCTCTGTGGTGGTGAGCTTCCACAAAGCATGCAGTGCCCATCTTCCTACACTGGGACCACCTGCAGTCCATCCCACCACCCGGTTCTAGGCTTCTCTGACCTTTAGTAGGGGCTCAGACCTTTGCAGACTGCCTGACAGTGCCTAAATCGGGGCTCCCCTTAACAAGCTTTCCAAATTGTGCTGTGACTGCTATGACTGCTTGTAGGGGGTCCAGAGCTTAGGAGGAAGCCTGAGAGGGCCTGACTGGAACCTGACCTGGGTCTCTGAGGGAGCTCCTGAGTAGCTGAACTGAAACCATCTGTTGCCTCCAATATAAACTCTGAGAGACCTGGAAGCCTAGACCAATCAGCTTTACATACCCAATAAGAAAACATATAAGGCACGCCAATAATACAAAGAGAAGCAGACTTCAACCCAACAAAGGAAGGCTTGAGTTTCACACCAGAATCACAAACAACAAAAGAAATCCACATGACAAAATCACAACAGAAAAATAATAATATGGAAAACCAAAACAGTATGTTTCCACCAAACACCAGTAGTCTTATAGAAGAGTTCTACAGGGAGAACCCCCTAGAGATAGCCCAGGACACAGAATTTAAAAGAACAATCATAAACATGATCAAAGAATTCAACAAATTTAAAGAACATACAAATAAACAAATCAAAAACTAAAAGAAGACAGGGATAAACTTCTGACTGAATTCACAAAAGAGATAAAAACATTGAAAAAAACCTCAGGCTGAAATGAAGAAGGAAGTAAAAAGCTCAATAACTCATTTGAAACAAGAGAAAGCCTCACTGACTGAATGAATGAAATGGAAAACAGAGTATCAAGACTGGATGATAAAGGTGAAGACTGCTCAAGCAAAGATTATAAAAAAAAATTTTTTTAAACACAGGAATGAACTATACAGGAAATGAGGGACACCATGAAAAGACCAAATTAATTAATCACAGGATAGAGGAAGGGGAAAAATTTCAGATTAAGGGTACCGACCAGATCTTAAACAGAACTGTAGAAGAGAATTTCCCAAAATTAAGGAAAGACATGCACATACAAATACAAGTACATAGAACATCAAATAGACAGGACCAGAAAAGAAACTCCCCTATAGGACTTTAAGATACAGATTAGCCCCAACACAGTAAGAGCAGGGGACTTCAATACCTCACTGTCTCCATTAGAGAGGCCAAACAAAGAATAAACGGAGAGACATCTGAGAAT